ACTGAGCCACCCAGGGGCCCCTCAGAAGGTTTTTTTGGTGGCCTTTAAATGAGATAGTGCATTGGACCCCATCACAAAGAGCCTGGCATATGGGCAAGTATCCACCCACGGTGAATGACTGTGATTGTCATCGGATGGGGGGGGGGCTCTGAATGTGACCTGCCCTTGCGTGTGGAACTCAGCAGATTTGCGGGTGCTCCATATATCCATGGGCAGCCGGCTAGGGAAGGTGCGTGGGGCACAAATGGGGCAGACTGTGTCAGGAGTTGAGGGCTCATGGGCTAGCCTCATCAGGGCAATGCAGCTCTCCTATTGGGTGACGTCCCTTAAACTGGGGGGCCAAGTTCAAGAATAGGAAGTCAGACTGGGAGGTCTGGAGAATGAGATTGTGCCAGCAGCAGCTCCAAGCTCCTCCTACCATTGCTGGGCATGGCCTGGGTGAGAAGGTGCCCCAGCCTGTGGGTGCTGACCTGGTTTAGCCAGAGATGCCGGACCCTGTCCTGTGGGTGCTTGGGGCCCAGGGACAGAAGCATGGGAGCTTCGTCCACATTGGCCTCTGGGCTTCGGAAAGCCTAATTACTGCCACCCGGCCCCTAAGCCCCCCACTGGACAGGATAGAGCAGGACAGATTTAGAAGGTATGAGTCACCTCAGGTGGGCAAAGTGGGCTCAAAGGTGGTAGTGCTCTCCAAAGCCATCCAGACAAGAGGAGGTCGGCACCTAGGCAACCTGGCAAGGACACTTTTGTTTATCATGTCAAGCGTATTAAAGTATCATTATCCATGCAATTAAATTCACCCCTTCTTTTTTTTTTTTTAATGATTTTTATTTATTTATTTGACAGACACAGTGAGAGAGGGAGGACAAGCAGGGGAGTGGGAGAGGGAGAAGCAGGCTTCCCGACTGAGCCACCCAGGTGACCCACATTCACCCTTTTTGAGCATAAACGTCCATGAGTCTGACCAATGTGTATGTTTGCATAACCACAACCCCAATCCAGACATACAACAAGTGCATCACCCCTAAAAGTCAGATGCCTCCTCCTGCCCTTGGCTCCTAGCATCTACTGAGCTGCGTTCTGTCCGTATCATTTTGGCTTTTCCAGAATGTCGAGCAATGGAATCATTCAAAAGGTTGTAGCCTTTTGAATCCGGCTTCATTCACCAAGCATAATGCTTTTGAAGTTCATCCATGTGGTTGCAAATATCAATAGTTCCTTCCTTTTTATTCCTCAGCAGTACATCCCCATGTGGATATATCACAGCCTGACAATTATTTCTGTGGAGTAATGCCTAGCAGTGAGATTGCTGGGTCGTATGGTACATGTACACTTGTCTTTTTAAAAAGATCTATTTATTTATTTGATGGGGCGCCTGGGTGGCCCAGTGGGTTAAGCCTCTGCCTTTGGCTCAGGTCTATGATCTCAGGGTCCTGGGATGGAGCCCCGCATCGGGCTCTCTGCTCAGCGGGGAGCCTGCTTCCCTCTCGCCTGTGGCTCTGCCTACTTGTGATCTCTCTCTCTGTCAAATAAAAAAAAAATCTTAAAAAAAAAGATTGATGTATTTATTCGAGAGAGTGTGCACACACGAGCTGGGGAAGGGGCAGAGGGAGAGGGAGAGAGAGAATGAATCTTCAGGCAGACTCTTCATTTGCTGAGTGTGGAGCCCAATGTGGAGTTCGATTCATGACCCCAAGATCATGACCTGACCCGAAACCAAGAGTCAGACACTGAACTGAGTGAGCCACCCAGACGCCCCTGCATGTTTTTCTTTACAGGAAACTGACAAACTCTTTTGCCAAGTGGGTATATCTTATCTCAGTTTTGAGTCCCCTTGGTGAAACCATTCTCTTGTCATCGACAGCAGGACCGCAGTGGCAAGACCAATGACTTGCTAATTCCATGAGAAACTTAAATTACAGAATAGTTGTAAACATTTTTGCTGTTTTATTTCTTTACGTACCAACCACAACTGAAAGGATTAAAGGAGTGCCCACCCCTCTAGCGTGACTAGCTGTTCCAGTTTGCCCAAGATTCTCCTCCTTTAAAAAAAAATTCTTTTTATTTGACAGAGAGAGACAGCAAGAGAGGGAACACAAGCAGGGGGAGTGGGAGAGGGAGAAGCGGGCTTCCTGCCTAGCAGGGAGCCCGATGGGAGGGCTTGATCCCAGGACTCTGGGACCAGGACCTGAGCAGAAGGCAGACGCTTAACGACTGAGCCACCCAGGCGCCCCAGTTCTCCTTTTAACACTGAAAGTCCTGCATCCTGAGAAACTGCTCAGTCCTGGCCCCAAACTGGGGTATGTGGTCACCCTACTGTTGAGTGTCAGCATGCTGAAAGTCCGTCACATCGTTTCATTCACAACCAAGTGTCAAGGTGGATTTGTTACTTACTTGTACATAAAGAAAAAGCCTTCAAGAAGTTAAGTTGCTTCCCCAGCCCACACTCCGGAGTAGGTAGAGCCAGTCTTTGGCTCTGGGTCTGCCAGACTGCAAAGCGCCTTAGTCCTGGGCCTCCTGGGCACAGGCCAGCAGGTGCACCTGGGTGGAGCTCTGCTGCCCTCTGGTGGCAGAGGAGGTAGTGCTCTGGGTCCGAGTCCACGCTTGTGGGGCAGCCAGTAGTGGGAGTCCTGGAACAGGACATCGAAACTGGCCTCGGTCCTAGAAGGGTGTCCCATGGAGGGACCCCACCAAGGCCTGCTGGGGGTCATGGTCTTTCCATTCTTAAGACTCATGATCCAGCAGGCCCTCACAGACCTGTGCCCAGAGTGCTGGGTTTGAGTTTGTGTGACCCTGAGCCAGTCCCCCACCCCTCTGGGCCTCAGTTCCTTACTTGTAACTCAGGAGGATAAACATGTAGACACACCTAGACTAGGCTTGGACACTGAGGTTGTTATCACGAACTCCAATGCGCCCACATACCCCCCCACCCTGGTGCAGTCATTCATTTCATTCATTCATTTCACTTCCGTCCAGCAGCTTTCTGCCAAACATTGGCTCTGTGCCAGACCTGGAGCTGGGGGTGGGGGTGGGGTAGTGATGGGGACATGGCTGCTCTCAGGCTCTTCACTGTCTGCCCATCCACTATCTCACATGTTCATTCATTCATCTATCCCCTGGTTATGTCGTTTACACATTCATTCATTCTTTCTTTTTTTAAGGCAGTTGTGGACTCCCTTCTTTCCTCCTTCCCTAGTTCCTCTGTTTTGCAAGCATTCTGGAAGCACCACTCTACTCGAGGCCAGGATTAGATGCTGGGATTCCAGCTCAACCCTCCTCCCAAACTTGTGGGTAGGCAGATGGTGAGGACACGCTGTGCTAACTACCATATGCCAGGCATCGGGACCCAGAGCAGGGAGAGCACCAAGAAGAGAGCAACTGACTGCCTGGAGAAGGGAATGGGGACAGGGCAGGGGGTTGGGGGGGAGAATAGGGTAATCAGAGAAGGCTTCATGGAGGAGGTAGCATTTAAGCAAAGCTGAGAAGTGTTGTGGGAGTTCTCCAGGAAGGTAAAGACACTCCAGGTAAAGTCTTTTTGGGTATGTGGCACATTCAGGGGAAAGTGAGGTATCTGGTGGCTGGAGTGTATTTTACAGGGTCATGTGTCCATGACCCACCCAAGCCAAGCCCTCCAGGGGTTCCAGTGACAGAACTGGGCCAGTCGAGGACTTCTCCTAATTCATCAGCCTTCGTCACTGGAAAATCACCTACTCTCAGGGGGCCAGGAATGGCCTTAGGGCACTAACACAATATCCTGTCACAAGGGTCGCCTGGCCGGCAGGGGACATTCCGTGGGAGAGCTGTCCTGGGCAGAGCAGGCTGTGCAGGCAGCAGCAACAGTGGTTCCTGAGGTGCCTAGCCCCCCAAGATCCCACTGTCATCCAGCAAAACCTGAGTACTTTGTCCTGAGCCAGGCCTTGCCCCAGACGTCGGAATACAGCAGTGAACGGAATGTCCACCCTTTAGTGGGTGACTAACAAAATGAGAAAACCAGCAAGTGTGAAGACCACCGGAAACACAGCTGTACTTGAAAAACAGGTTCTTCTGCGTCTTTCAAGCAGGAAGACTGCACTTGCTTCATTCAACAAGGGGGTATGAAAGAGGACTTATTACAGGATTTGGGCTTGGGTGAAGTGACTTGTGGAGGGTTCAAGCAAGTGGGTTTAACTCTGGATTAGACACTGTCAGGAAGCGACACAATTCTGTGACTGGCTGTCTTCATAAATATTTAAAGTGAACCGAGGCTAATGCTTTAAAGAAGACAGCAGTTACTCGTAAGAGACAGAATGAGGAAAACGTTTGGTCTTTTTGCGGTTCCAACAATATTCCTGTTTTTTCATCTGCGTGCAAACATGTGTTTATGCCTCACTCCATCATGGTGACAGAATGGCCTTGCGTGCTGTTGGTGTTCCGGGAAATTGTTTATGTCCAGGAGGAGGACATCAAGGCCTCCTGGGACTGCCAGGCTGGCTCCCAGATGGGAGGGGCCCTTTCCTCTTTCCCGTAAGAAAGACTCCCATTCATCCCAGCCTTGCAGATTTTCTGGGTGTCAGGTGCAGAATAATTCGAGGAGGACAAAAGAGACACGGCCCCAGTCCTCAGGGAGCTCAGTGACAAGTCTGCGCTGTTTTAAATAGATTGTCAGAAATAGAAGGGAGAATGGACCAGACCCAAGGAACCGCGGGGACAAAGACCCGTGGGCGGGAGGGGGATGCTGAGAGCCATTAGCAGAGCTGCCGGCGGAGCCACGACGCGCACGCGGACTGGAGAGGTCGCCTGGGGTCGAAGCCTCGGGCGTGCAAGGCCACCTCTCCCAGAGAAACGTGGGGGCTCGTCGGCCCTGATTTGCTCAGACGCAGGAAATGAAATCAAGCGGCTTTGATCACGATAACCCGCTCGGCCTCGAGCTCATGAATATTCAGCAGCCTACTTCCGGCTTGGGACTCCGCCCCAGCCCCGCCCCGCTAGCGGACTGCGCTTGCGCCACGGGCGCACGGGTCGTCAAAGGCGCGCGCCGTCGTCGCTCGCCGAGAGTGAAGGGGAGCTGTGATGGCGAGTTCGGCTGCTTCCTCAGTGCGACCGCCGAGGCCCAAGAAAGAGCCGCAAGCGCTCGTCATCCCAAAGAATGCGGCCGAAGAGCAGAAGCTCAAGCTGGAGCGGCTCATGAAGAACCCGGTAAGACGAGGCGCTGGTTCGACGGCGTCTTCCAGCGCTTTCGGGAACCCGCGGGCCCGCCTCCCCTGGCTGCAGACTTAGAAACTCAGTACCCGAACCCCAGGGCCAGTCCCTAGGAAGGAGTAGGCTACCCCGGAGATAGTGAGCTTCCCCTGGCCTTATGTTGGAGCCCAGGCGGGGTGAGGGCGCTGTGGAACGGTTTCCCGTGCTCTGAGGCACTCCTAGTTTACCTTTCTGTGAACTGAAGCGCTGACAGGAAAGATAGAATCTATGGGTCGACACAAGGGTTTATTTTCTTCTAAACAGCATCGATTGTTAGAGGGGCATTGGCCTACATAGCTGGGACAAGTCACTCTCCCGTCAGGGTCTCGGTCCCTTAAGTCATAAAAATAATTGGATGAGGTCTCTTCTTACAGCCTTGGCTAGAAAGGGTTGACTCCGGGTGTCCTGGAGTTAAGGTTAGAGGTTTCCAGCCATAAATGGTGACTTACGTTTCTGAATTCCGCTTTGGAAAGTTAGGTGTAGCCCTGGCGAGGCTATGGGCTGTGATAGAACCCAGAGTACAGGGGATGGAGTAAATCTAAGGGAAGAAAATCAGCTTTAGGTCCAAGGAGCAAAGCAGTCTTATTTCACCCATCCAGTTAAAATGCTTTGGTCTCAAAGAGATGTGAATTTGTCAGCAGCTTTGTACTTAAGGATGCCTCTGTGTTTAAATGTTGCAGGACAAAGCAGTTCCAATTCCAGAAAAAATGAGCGAATGGGCACCTCGGCCTCCCCCAGAATTTGTTCGAGATGTAATGGGTAATGTCTTCTGTTGATATGTGTGTGTGGGTGAATATAATTTTTGAAGCATAGATGTAAAAACCCTGCAGTTAGTATTTGTTAATTAGATTTCTAACAGGAAAAAAAGAGTTCACTGGTTCAGTAATTTTTTTAAAAAATTTTATTTATTTATTTGATAGAGATTGCAAGTAGGCAGAGAGGCCGGCAGGGAGAGAGGAGGAAGCAGGCTCCCCGCTGAGCAGAGAGCCCGACGCGGGGAGCCTGCTTCCTCCTCGATCCCAGGACCCTGAGACCATGACCTGAGCCGAAGGCAGAGGCTTTAACAACCACCGAGCCACCTTTAACCCACTGAGCCGCCCAGGCGCCCTGGTTCTGTAATTTTGTACTTAAAAAGAAGGGGTGTTGCTTACAGTTTGGCACTAGAGAATTTTCTTCTGCATTGTTTTAAATAATGCATCGTGTTGGTTTTTTTCTAACATGGTTTTGGGGTTGTAAACTAACGTACTAATTATAAAGAAGAATAAATAACAGAGGTATGAAAAATTTCGAACCCCCATAATTCCACCATTCCCCTTGTAACATTTTTTTTAAAGATTTATTTATTTGTTTGAGAGAGAGAGTGCGAGTGCTTGCCTGCAGCAGGGAGAAGGAGAGAGAGAGAATCCCAAGCAGACCCCCCACTGAGCATGGAGCTCAGTCTCAGGAGCCTGAGATCACGACCTGATCCTAAATCAGGAGTCAGCTGCTCAGTCCAGCTGAACCACCCAGGTGCCCCCCATTTGTAACATTCTGATACAGCCTTTCAAACTAGTCAAAACCACTTGGGTTTAAGAAAAAATGATTTTATAAAAATGGTTGGTTGTTGGTTGTTCAACACAATTACTTAGTAACTTTTTTTGCTTTGTTTTAAACTTAATATACATGGACATCTTTTCAGCTGGATATCAAATGTGAAATCATCTGACAGGGGAGGTAAAGGTCTTAAGCTATCTTCTAGGTTTCTGATCTCTCAACCACAGTGTGTTCCTCCTCTTAGTGTGTTAGAATGGAATTACTAGTGACTTCGCATTCAACATTCATGCAACAACTATTTAATGATTACCGTGCTAGGCAAGTCACTGTGCCAGCTTCTGGAATACAATGGGGGGTGATCCTTTCGATTACTTCCGATTTCTTTCTTTGGTCCCTTTTGATTAAGGGTAGGCTATGTTGGTAACTGGATTTCATTAAGAACTCTGGACTCTCCTGACTGTAGGTTCGAGCGCTGGGGCTGGCAGTGGAGAGTTCCACGTGTACAGACATCTGCGGCGGAGAGAGTACCAGCGACAGGACTACATGGATGCCATGGCGGAGAAGGTCAGTGAGCACAGAGGCTGGCTGACCCCTTGGGTTTGGGCAATGTGCACTTAGGACTTTTAGGAAAAAGCATTTAAAGAAGAGAAAATAACACCTGGTTCTTGGCCTGTGTGAAGGCTGCCTTCTAAAGTCAGCGTGGGAAACAGACATCAGATCCAGATTATTCATTGGTCAGACTCAGCACATCAGGGTGCTCCCACTAGGAGATGAATAAGAGGAGGGAGACTTCCCTGTGCGTAGAAGGGACAGGAGAGTCCCCTTTCCCCTCCAGGCCATTTGTCCTGAAATGGAACAGAAAGCAGGATCTCCCACATCACTCGAGTTATTATTTCTGTTCTCTCTCTTTTTTTGGCTGAATTCCTATAATTCTTTGTAGCTGTGCATTTGGTGTGAATAGCAGTGTGCTTTCATGTGTCTGCTTCTTTGAGTGGTCTAGTTAGAGGCTGGCATTTCTTCATGGCAGGTGTGAAATACTAACCAAGAATTGGGAATAGCCTTAGAAATTGTAATGTAGAACTATTAAGCTTTTTATCACCTGACCAGGAGACCCCAAAACCTCTCTCTTGTTGTTCTTAAAAAATACTCTTCGGATATTTTGTTTAGTTTTCAGATAGAACTTTGGAGTTACTTTACCCACACCAGAAAATCTTGTTGGTTTTTTTTGTTTTGTTTTTTTTAAACTAGAATTGAGTTGAGTCCATAACTTAAATTGAATGAGGATGGATGTTACAGTGTTTAGGCATCCTCTCTAGAAATGTTCCTTTTTTTTCTGAATCTCTCAGTGATGATTAGAGATTTGGTATAGATCTCACATTTGTTCAAAGATCATGTTTTTTTGATTGCAGTGGTGCTAGTTGCTCCTTTATATTTTATTACTGGCGATTAGTAAAAATCAGAAAAAAAAATACTAACATTTTAGTACTCCTATATTTTCCCACCTGAGTATAAATAAAAACCAAGGGCGCCTCGGTGGCTCAGTCAAGCGTCTGCGTTTGGCTCAGGTCATGATCCCAGGGTCCTGGGATCGAGCCTTGCATCGGGCTCCCTGCCCACCAGGGAGCCTGCTCTTCCCTCTCCTTCTGTAGCTCCCCCAACTCATTCTCTCTGTGTCTTTCAAAATAAATAAATAAAATCTTAAAAAACAAAAAACAAAACCAAAAAACCCTACAAATATTATTTGGCTAATTCTTCATGATTTTCCATATCTGATCTCTCTTCCTAACGTGTGAGAGATTGCCCCTTGCTCTTAATCTTACAGCATGCACTGGAAAAGACGTTTTTCTCAGTCTAACCACGATGCCTGTTACTTCCTTGAATACATCAGTGTGTTTTAGAGAGCTTTACATACTTTACGGTGGTATATGTTCGCTTTGTAAAAAGGAGAGGAAATCACTTTATCCAGTAACAGTTGATTTTCTGGTAATTTGGTTTGAAAAAGACTCACTGTAGAATTTCTTCCTATATAAAGTAAATACAACGTTTAAAAAAATTAAAACGATTATTCATTCAAATAGAATACTATTTAGCAATCACAAGGAAAAGACTAATGATACGATGATCCCTGAAACATTGTGCTGAGCGAAGGAAGCCTTGCATGAGAGAGCCTGTCATATGGTCCTATTTATACGAAGTTCTACAAGAGGCAGGACTAACCTATGTTAAACCATATATGTGTTTCAGAACGATTGTCTATGGGAGTTGCATAGGGAGAGGTAGGAGAGAACTTTCTAGTGTGATTAGATAGTATACTCACAATTGAGCATTTTGTTGTATGTATTACCTTAAGCGGAAAAAATAGAAAAACTGTTAACAAGTATTAAACCCTGTTAATGCTATGCATGCTTAAATCTTTGCAGGTGAAATGTCCTGGTGTCCGCAGCTTACTTTGAAATGTATTTTTAAAAAAAAAAGACAGGGGAACCTGGGTGGCTCAGTGGGTTAAGCCGCTGCCTTCGGCTCAGGTCGTGATCTCAGGGTCCTGGGATCGAGTCCCGCATTGGGCTCTCTGCTCAGCTGGGAGCCTGCTTCTCTCTCTCTCTCTCTCTCTCTCTCTCTCTCTGTGTCTGTCTGCCTCTCCGTCTACTTGTGGTTTCTCTCTGTCAAATAAATAAATAAAAATCTTAAAAAAAAAAAAAGACAGGTTGATGGATGGGTAGTGGTATAGCTGGGTGGACAGATGTGATAAAGCAAGGAGCAAAATGTCAATTGTAGGATCTTGGTGGTGGGCATATGGAGTGCATAATTCCTTCAACTTTTCTGTGTTTGAAATTTTCCAACATAAAACAGTTCCAACGAAAAACAATGTTAAAACATAAAAAAGTATTAAAGAGATAGACATGACACAGGAGAAAATAAGTGAAAGTAAAAATTCACTGGAATGGCCAAAATTGAGTTTGAAAAATATCTTTAGGATTTGGGAAGGCAATGGAATCATTGCCGTGGTGGTTTTCACCTGGTGTTTGCTTGTCCTGCGGCCTGTCTTGGTCCCCAGCCGTTGGTGGTTCTTTTGTAGCTACTGCCATCCTCTGCCTGTGACATTGTCAATTCTAGTGGGGAGTTTGTGGTGGCTTGTCCCACAGCTATACCTAGTCACCATGGTGGGTTTTCCACTGTCAAGAATAAGAAAACTCTATGTAAAAACTATCAGAAGCACTGTTTAAATTTTTAAACTACTTTAGAGGGAAGGAAACAGAGTAGGCAGTTGGCTCGGCTACCATCAGTGCACACCAGTGTTCGAAGATCAGTTGTGTAGATTTCTTTTTTTTTTTTCTTTCTTTTTTTTAAGATTTTATTTATTTGACAGAGACACAGTGAGAGAGGGAACACAAGCAGGGGGAGTGGGAGAGGGAGAAGCAGGCTTCCCACTGAGCAGGGAGCTTGACATGGGACTCGATCTCAGGACTCTGAGACCATGACCTGAGCTGAAGGCAGATGCTTAACCACTGAGCCACCCAGGAGCCCCTAGATTTCTTACTATAAATCACAATAGCACACTCGCCAGGACCCTGGCTACATAACCAGTAGTTGTGCCTTTTCTCACGCTCTCATGTTTCTTTGGGCAAGAGGGTATCTTACTGAACCGAAGCAGTCCCGTTCGCCATCCGAGTGCAGGAAGCCGTATATCGATTCCTGCCCCACCTGTGGGGCAACCTCTTCCAGTTAAAATGGCCCTGCAGACGTGGTGTGCCTACAGCACCCCCAGTGGTGTGACTTCTAGAGCTCTCATCCGTGGCCCAGAGTCTGTCTAAATGATGTGTTTTTTCACAGCAAAAATTGGATGCAGAGTTTCAGAAGCGACTGGAGAGGAATAAAATTGCTGCGGAGGAGCAGACGGCAAAGCGGCGGAAAAAGCGGTAAGGGCTCTGTGGCTCTTCCTAACCAATGAAGCCTAAAGGCGGGAAATGTGAGAGCTGAGTAGTCCTTGCGGTCAGAAGTTCATTGTATGACCTGTCGAGGTCTTGGTTGTTACCCAGTAGACGGACGACCTGAGATATCTGAGTATCTGAGAGACTAAGTCACTTACTGCTGATGCTTCCCCCCATATCTCCCCGTTACAGATTCTCCGCAGCTCAGGTCGGCGCCTGGGCGATCAGGTGGATTTCTAGGTTTCCTCCACGTCTGTATTTTAACATCGAGTTTAACAGTATGCTGTGAGCAAACTTTGTTTAGCTTCTTCCTTAAATTAGGGTGTGTGACCTCCCTCAGTGACATTACATCATTATGTAGACTGTGTGTGTGTGTGTGTGTGTGTGTGTGTGTGTGTGTGTGTGTTTTAGTAAATGCTCTCTTGTCCTTTGGAGAACTAAGCAGGATTCTAAAAACAGTTCCTAATTCTTAGTCTGTTTCTGGCAGTCTGTTAATTTATTGAGATAGACTTTCATTTGCTTTCTTTCTTTTTTTTTTTAAAGATTGTATTTAATTATTTGACAGATCACAAGTAGGCAGAGAGGCAGGCAGGGGCGGGGGGAAGCAGGCTCCCTGCTGAACAGAGAGCCCAATGCGGGGCTTGATCCCAGGACCCCGAGATCATGACCTGAGCCAAAGGCAGAGGCCTTAACCCACTGAGCCACCCAGGCACCCCGTTTCTTTTGCTTTCTGATATGCATAGTAAATTTAGTTACAGAGCATGTCTGTATGCTACAGCTTGGTTACATCTTTTTTTTTTCTAGCTATTTTGCATTTTTTTCTTTTACCATGTTTTTGTTTCTGTGTGTGAAATTAAATAAGAAACAAAAGTTGTAAAGCTGTAACATTTCACATGGAAATGCTCAGTCTCCACCAGCTTTAGAAAGCTGATACTGCAATAAAGTGTTGTCATTAAAAAAAATAAAATAAACAAGTCGGGGCGCCTGGGTGGCTCAGTGGGTTAAAGCCTCTGCCTTCGGCCCAGGTCATGATCCCAGGGTTGGGATCGGGCCCTGCATCAGGCTCTCTGCTCAGCGGGGAGCCTGCTTCCTCCTCTCTCTCTCTGCCTGCCTCTCTGCCTCCTTGTGATTTCTGTCTGTCAAATAAATAAATAAATCTTTAAAAATAAAATAAAATAAAATAAAATAAGTAAATAAAAATAGTCCCTAAATATCTCAGAATGAAAAACATTTTCAGTAGTCACGTCAGGACTCCACAAACGATTTCATTTTGATTCGGGAAGAAAACAGCTTGGTAATATTGGTGGTGTTGGAGTAGCAGAATCATGGGAAAGTATTTCTTCCTTTTCATTATTATAGTGTTTGTGTTATTATAAGGTCTTTAAACACCCTATAAGTAGATATTTATTTTCTAGAACATACAGTAAGTTAGTAAAGGAATTCATGTATTTTATATTTATAGCCAGAAGTTAAAAGAGAAGAAATTATTGGCAAAGAAGATGAAAGTTGAACAGAAGAAACAAAAAGAAGGTGAGTGGTACTTACTTTTCTAGGTTGTGATCTTTCTTGGTGTTGGTCACCATGGCTGACCTGTCAAGAATGAGATATTCGGGGCCTGGGCGGCTCGGTTGTTAAGCGTCTGCCTTCAGCTCAGGTCATGATCCCAGGGTCTTGGGATGGAGCTCCGCGTCGGGGCTTCTCCCTCTCCCACACCCCTGCTTGTGTTCCCTCTCTCGCTATCTCTTTCTCCCTCTCTGTCAAATAAATCTTAAAAAAAGAGAGATTTAGAGTTTGGAGCTGGTTGGCTGGCCACTGAAGAGACAAGGACTTATTTCTATTAATTAGGACTTGTTTAATTGCAAGTGTCAGAAAGGTAAACAGAAGGAAAGATACTGGCTTATGTTAAGTCAGGACAGACCTCCCTTCAGGGATGGCTAGTAGAGGAACTCAGTGATGTCAGTGGCATTCTTTGTCTCCTTCTGTCCCCTGGCCCCTTGTCCTCGGGCAGGCACATGTTCTCCCGGTGGTTGACGGGTCCCTGGGGCTGCACCCTGCCTCAGTCGGCTCAGTGGGCTCAGTCGGGCTCCCTGCTCAGCAAGGAGCCTCCCTCACCCTCTGCCTACCACTCCTCCTGCTTATGTTCCCTCTCTGTCAAATAATAAAATCTTTAAAAAAACAAAACAGAACCAGAATGCTTTGGTCTCTAAGAAACAGAAAACTCAAATAGCAGTAGTTAAACAAAGAGGAGTTCATTTCTCTCATGTGACAAGAAATTTGGTGGAAGGGGGCAGCCATGTGGTTCAGCAGCTCAGTAGCGTCAGGCCCAGTATCCCGGCAGTTCTCTTGGCCTTTATTTTGTGGGCATGAGATGGCTGCTGCGACTCCTGCCATCAGACCAGTGTTCAAAGAAGAAAGAAAGGGGAAAGAAGTGGTACTTGTCTTTTTTTTTTTTTTTTTCCTATTTGTAACAGAAGAGAAAAGATCCCCAAAAGTGCCCAACAGATGTCATTTTATATTTCATTGGTCAGTGCTAGGTCACTTTGCCATTCCTTGCTGCTGTTAGGTTAGATGAATAGAAAACAGAATTGTTGTGACTATCTTTGTAACCTGTCAGGATTCATCCCTGGAAGCTGGGTACATTGCCACCTTAGACTAAGATGAAATTTTGTTAACAGGGAGGAATAGGGGGGCGCCTGGGTGGCTCAGTGGGTTAAGCCTCAGCCTTCAGCTCAGGTCATGATCTCAGGGTCCTGGGAACGAGCCCCGCATCGGGCTCTCTGCTTAGCAGGGAGCCTGCTTCCTGCTCTCTCTCTGCCTGCCTCTCTGCCTACTTGTGATCTCTCTCTCTCAGTCAAATAAATAAATAAAATCGTAAAAGAAAAAAAACAAAACAGGGAGGACTAGGGGCTGAGTCGTGTATCAGCATCCCACTGTGCTACCAGTCCTGTCCGCCTCTGCGCCCGTCACATGGCCAGAGATGCCAGCCACTCGCCTGAGAGCCCGTGAGCTGAGAGTCAGGGAACAAGCGGTCTCCAGTGGGAAGGATAAAGGATGCCAAGAGACCAAGCACATGACAGCTGCAGACCACAGTCCTGAATGGGTGGCGCTTCCCTGATTGACCAGCCGTGGCTCCTGTGAGGACAGTTGTGATTTTTGGTCTTCAGATGAAGTGAGACTTTCCCTGATACACTAAATACGATTTGTCCCTTCCAGAACCTGTTTCCTTGTAAGTTACGAACATACTACGTGACACACTGTATATGGTGTAGTTCTAAACTATTTCCTACTATTTCTTAGAGTAATTTATTTTACTACACGAAAATGTGATGCTAAAAACTCATTCCTCAAATAGACCTACACTGTTACTTTCCCAGACTACTTCTCCCTCCCTACACATGGGGGAACCCAGAAGTGCTTGATCCAAGCTTGCCTGCGGCATCATTTCCCCTCTCTCTGAAAACCTTTTTATTCATTCAGTTAGAAGAGGTCTGCTGGCTATGAATTTCCTTAGCTTTTCTCCATATGGGGCTGTCTTCATATCACCTTTGTTCCTGACAGACATTCTCACTAGATACAAAATTCTGGGTGGACAGTTTTGTCAGGTTTTTTTGGGTGTGTGTGGTTTTTTTTTTGGTTTTTTTTTTGTTTTTAGCACTTTAAAAATGCCATTCCACTTTCTCCGTCTTCCACGGTTTCTGATAAAAATTTTGTAGTCATTCAAATTGTTCTATCATTGTTTTTCTCTGGCTGCTTTTAAGATTTCTGTCTTTAGATGTCAGCAGTTTGATTATGATGTGTCTATATGTGGATTTCATTGGGTTTATCCTGTTTGATTCATGGAACTACTCGAATCTAGACATATGTGTCTTTTGTCAAATTTGGAAGGTTTTTTTTTTTTCAGTCTTTTGTTTCTGTTCTAACTGTTGGGTGATTCCTGTCGATCTGACTTCAAACTATCTCTTTCCTCTGCCATTTCTATTCTGCTGTTGATCCTACCCAGTGAATTTTTTATCGCAATTACTCTTTTTTTTTTTTTTTCCAGGAAGTTCTATAATTTTGACTTTCATTTTTTAATGTTTTATTTATTGGAGAGAGAGCGACATTGCACAAACTGGACTGGGGGTCAGAGGGAAGGGGACAGGCAGACTCCCCACTGAGCAGGCCTGATCCCAGAACTCTGAGATCATGACCTAAGCTGAAACCAAGAGTCAGACGCTTAACCGACTTGACCCTCCCAGGCCATCCCCTGGGCATTTTGAATATTATATTATGAGGCTTTGGTCTTGGTGGTATTTGTTTTAGTAGGTAGTCAGCCTGGCTGTGTTCCAGAACACAGGTTCTCCCTAGCCTCCTGTAGTTGTGGTTCCACATTCAGTTCGGTTTTCCGAGCGTCGCCCTGCTCTCCAGGTGTGTCCTGCGTGTGCCACCCAGTGGCCAGGCAGGGCTTAGTTCTTTTGAGTTCGGTTCTTGAACTGTTCGGTATGATGATTCCGGCCACATCCAAGCTTGTGCTGTTAGGCTGAGCCCGGGAGTTCAGAAATGACTTACGGTGTCTTTTCTAACCTCCTTTTTCTCCGTGAGCTCTGCTGTACTTTCTGGTTTCCTGGGACTCCCCTTCTCAGACCCCCAGCCGGAAAACTGGGGCTTTAGTCACAGGCTGGCACATGCTGCCTTCAGCTGTGCCTGCCTCCGGGGCTGAGCAGTGGGAGGACAGAGAAGAAAGGCAGCAGGGCTTCCCTGGCCATCTTAAGACCACAGCTCCTCTGATCAGAAAGAAAGGCTCCCCTCTTCTGAAGTGTGTGTGCCCGCAAGCCCCCATTGCCACCACAGGTGCTGTTGCCACGGCAACTCGCGCAGGATTGCCTGAGCGCTAGGGTCTGAGTGAATGGGGAAAAAGGAGACCCAAGAATTTCCCTTACTCTCAGCATCGGGAATCCCTTTTTTTCTCCTCAGACCAGAACCAGAGGGTTTCTTGGGAAGTTCCCTCGCTGCCTGGGCTCCATGACTGCATGTCAAATCGCCCCGACTCCAGGCTGGGGGTACTGAGGGGAAGAGTCCTCAGAAATTCAGAGGTGTTCCCATGGCACTTTGTATGCTGGTCTTTTCCCCTAATCTGCTTGCTTTTCGAGAGCCCATCATTTGGGGCATCTGGGTGGCTCAGTGGGTTAAAGCCTCTGCCTTCGGCTCAGGTCATGATCTCGGGGTCCTGGGTTAGAGCCCCACATCAGAATCTCTGCTCAGCAGGGAGCCTGCTTCCCCCTCTATCTCTCTGCCTACTTCTCTGCCTACTTGCGATCTCTGTCTGTCAAATAAGTAAATAAAATCTTAAGGAAAAAAAAAAGAGTCCATCATTCTGTCCACATCCTATAGCGATATTCAGTGGAGAGAAGGAGTCAGATGTGCTTGCTCTATCTTACCTAGAACCCTCTGTTTCTGTCTTTGTTTAGAATCTAAACGCGGGACTGTAGCTCTTTTGCATTTCAGCCTGGTGCTGATTCAGGTTCCAAAATCCTTTTGAGTTCTGATTCTGAAATTCAGCATGTTACCATGACTTTCTGGGGTTGTCATGGGCAGAGTTGATAAACATAACTCCTTTGTCATTAATGAAAATGTTGAGCCAGACTGGGCCTGGGCCAGGGCCTGAGCCCTCTAGCATCCCCGGGGGAGCTCCGTGTTGGCTGGCAGGGACCCGTTCACTAAGACTTTTAGGGTGGAGTTAATTCTCCAGCTAAGAATCAGCCAGACTCCCTCTTCTTCCCTTACTCCCAGACGTGTCATAAGAAATTCAGAGGTAATTTGAGGTGTGGAATGGGTACAGCAGACGTAAGTTCTAGGCTTAGCTCTCCCTCCGGCTCACCCTGACCTCGAGCATCTGGCTTCTCTTATTTGAGCAGATTTCTTTTTTTTTAGCTTATAATTGATAAGCACTTTCTAGATCTAAAAGTCTACAGTTTGATAACTTTGCCAGACATCTTGCTGTAATTGAGATACACACCACATTTCGGGGGGTTCCCTCAGCAGTGCGTCTAAAAACTCTTCCATAACAGGAAACTGAGGTTAGTTTGCTCTGTATTTGTACTTAATGAACTGTATTGGGTCTTTAGGGGTCATGTTGTAACTTTTTAGTCATCAGTTCTGTGATCGAAGGAGACCGGTGGCACTGGCACAGAGCTGGGGCCTCTCAAATCCTCCTCCTCTAACCTCTTTTAGACGTTAGGTGCATGGACCCTGCCGTTTTCTGGAACCTTTCTTCAGTTTGCCCGAGGCTGCAAAGCGGATCTGAGCTCACAGAGCAGGCTCTGGTGCTCCCAGGGAGCTCACGTCCAGAGCCTCCAGCTTGTTGACGGCGGCCTTGGGCCTCTCACTGCCCCCCCGTCACCCCTCCCCACGTCTCGAGCTTCGGTTCTGTCAGAAAGACAGTGTTTGTGCCCAGGTGGAGTCACACCTTGTAACACGGTGTTTTGTCACACCGAGGTTGTGATCTTTGCTCGCCGAGTCCTGCAGTCGGTTTCCAGGTTGCCGCTGTCGTT